CAGTAACATGATCGCAATTCAAGCACTTGGCAACAGACTCACGTTGATCAGTTACGACCAGTTGCAGCATCTCTGGTCACGTGATCACAGTCTGAGACCTTTCCTAGTCAGTTTCCAACAAAGAAGCATCAGTTTAGGATTGCTTCAATCCCTTACCTTCCCCTGTTCTGCAGTGCTACTGTTCACACTGGTGGAAGTGTTTATGAGCCATGACTCATCTGTTGCAAATGTTGTAAAATGTGGATTGTTTAAATTGGATGTGAATTGGGTTATGAACTTGGGTGGTGGTGGGGAGGTTCCTTTGTTTTGTTTTGTTTTATGTATGGGTTCCCTGAGATCTGAAAATTATTTCTAGGGTAAAAAGCCGAGAAAGGTTACTCTGTCTCTCCAAATTTGGAAACTTAAAGACTTCCCCAGCCAGCCAAGTTTGGAGAATTCAGGGTGTTGAAGTACACAAGTCTTTAAGTTGCCAATTTTGGAGACCCCCACTGGCTCTGATTAATTGTTCTAACTGTTACAGAAATTTATCTTTAGTTCTAGGTTGCTTCTCTCCTTGATTAGTTTTCCACCCATTGATTCTGGTCCTGCCCTCAGGTGCTTTGGAGAATAGGTTGACTCCCTCTTCTCTGTGGCAGCCCCTGAGATATTGGAACACTGCTATCATGTCACTCCTAGTCCTTCTTTTCATCAAACTAGACATACCCAATTCCTGCAAATGTTCTTTATATGTTTTAGCCTCCAGTCCCCTAATCATCTTTGTTGCTCTTCTCTGCACTCTTTCTAGAGTCTCAACATTTTTTTATCTCATGACAACCAAACCTGGATGCAGTATTCCAACTGCGGTCCTACCAAGGCATTGTAAAGTGGAACTAACACTTCACATGATCTTGATTCTACACCTCTGTTAATGCAGCTTTGAACAGTTGCTAAGCAAGTGGTCATTAAGCGAGGACTTACCTATATTACATATTGCCCACCCACCCCCCAAAAAACCTATGGATATAACCACAGAATCGCTAGGATTGAGCACCTCCTTCTCTGTTTGATTCCAAATATTCAGAGTGAGACCAGGGAGGGATGGGCTTCAAAAATTTTAGCAACAGGTTCTCTGCCTGGTTGCTAGATGGGTGTGGTTATGGTGGGTGTGGCCTAATCGGTCTCCTGTACCACAGGAGGTGCATTTTTGCCCTCCCCAGGCTCCAGAGGCTTTCCTTGAGCCTCCAGGAGGACGAAAACAGCCTCCGGAGGCTCTCTGGAAGCCGAAAACGGGCCCATTTCCGGCCTTCCCAAACTTCCAGGAGGCCTGTTTTTCGCTCGCCTTGCACTTCCCTGCATCCAAAATGGTCCACGTGGGGACTCCTGGGAGGGGAGGGGCGGGGAGGGGTGGGTGGGGCCAGCCAGGAGTGGAATTTGGGGGGGGGTTCTCCGAACTGCACAGAATCTTAGCTAGGGGCTCTCCTGAACCCCTTCGAATCCCCAGCCCACCCCTGAGTGAGACAGTACGCATAGTAACTTTAATAGACTTTGCGAGGTTTTCTGACAACATCCTGAGGTAACAATTCAGCCAGGCTCACCTGCTCTGACGGAATGGAAATTGGAAAGCCAAGAATACCAGTCACAAGCTGGTTTCTGATTCAGGAGCAAGTGCCACGTGTCTGATCAGAAACAGTACTGTACTTCCGCCAGCCTTCCTGGGCCAGCTTTCAGCTCGAGATTGTCCTAGTCTGACCTTAGTGGCTTATGCAAAGTTTGACAAGCTGGATGGAGCAAGAGAGTACCATGAGCAGAGAATTGAAGATTGAAGAAATAGATTTGCAATCTCTTGGAAAGTCCGATTTAGTATTCCAGGCCTTGCAGAGCGGGGATACTTTGTGAAACATCTGGGGATGATCCGGGAATTGCTCTGACTGCCTGGAGATTTGCAAGAAAGATGTACAGGGGTGTGTGGTTTATTAGAAGCTGATATTAGACTCTATTCCAGTTATGCTATGATTAGAGGTGGACATGGCTGCTTCCTTGCATTATTCAACTGAGCTTGGCGGAGGACCCTTCTGTAAACTTCCTGAGAAAAATAACCGCTGGGTTGTATAAATAGGGACACAGAATCAAAATCAGGTGAAGTATTAGCACCGCTTTATAAAACTCTAGTAAGACCACACCTGGAATACTGCAAACAATTTTGGTCGCCATATTATAAAAAAGGTGTTGAGACTTTGGAAAAAGTTCAGAAAAAAGTAACTAAGATGATCAAAGGCCCGGAGACTAAAACATACAAAGAACGGCTGCAGGATTTGGGTTTGGCTAGTCTAAAGAAAAAAAGAATGAAGGGGTGACATGATAGCAGTATTCCAGCATTTGAGGGGCTACCACTAAGAAGAGGGAGTCAAATTATTCTCCAAAGCACCAGAGGGCAGGACAAGAAACAATGGATGGAAACTCATCAAGGAGAGAAGCAACCTGGAATTAAGGAGAAACTTCCAAACAGTGAGGACAATTAATCAGTGGGACAGCTTGCTTCCAAAAATCATGGGTGCTCCATCACTGATGTCTTTAAGAAGAGTCTAGACAGTCATTTATCTGAAATGGTATAGGTTCTCCTGCTTGAGCAGGAGCTGGACTAGAAGACCTCCAAAGTCCCTTTCCAACTCACTCACTCACTCACTCATTCACTCATTCACTCATTTGTTCGTTCGTTCAAATTTCTCCTTAGTTCTAGGCTGGATCTCTCCTTGACTAGTTTCCATCCTATTTAAGTAGATCCACTGCTTCTTGTCCTGCCTTCAGGTGCTTTGGAGAATAGCTTGACTCCCTCTTCTTTGTGGCAGCCCCTCAGATATTGGAAGACTGCTACGATGTCCTTCCTAGTCCTACTTTTCATTAATCTAGACATACCCAGTTCCAGCAACCATTCATTATATGTTTAACCTCCAGCCCCCTAATCATCTTTGTTGATCTTTTCTGCACTCTGTATATTTTATCCAGCAATTCTCTCCATAACATTGCATGCCATCTCTTTCTAAAGTCAGGGAAATCTGCCTTGGCAAATTAGCAGCCAAAGGAACTTTCCCAATTTCATAAACCCACAGATTTCTCTTTAACTTCCTTTCCTGGTGAAGTTACTAAACCTGCATTTCAACCACAGGTATGAATGCAATTTGAACTTCCTGGAAAGATTTACTCTCCTGAAAACTTTTCCCATCAGATTCTGTCATGGGACCTGAACAGATTTGGCAAAACTTCAAACTAGTATAGTTTGGAAACTCCTTAGGGAAATGAGACACTATTCAGTGGTCACGATAAATTAAGACTGATAGCTAAAGGATGTGCCCATGCAGTAATTGCCCATGACAAGTTAGGGAATTCAGAACAAAATCTATTTTCTTCCTTCAGCTTCCTACAATTGATTTGGAGCTTTGAAAAATGCTATACGCTTTATAGGTATCAGATGTGTTAGGTTTTATTTCCTATTAATAAAAGTTAATTAACTTATGTCCTTTAAAACATAAAGCTGGGCATAAAATAGGCTATAAACCAAGCCAAACCGTCCTTGTAGAGAAACATTATTTATATTATACACAGAAAACTGCTTCTAGGTATGTTATGAAGTACTAGCAAAGACACTGGAAACATGGAGGCTGATTGGAAAGATGGTTTATTGGTGAAGCAGAATTACACATGGGTGGTTCTGGGCAGCTGATCACATGGAGTTGAGAGTGAGGGGTTTTTATACCTTCTCTTGGGCTTTGAGCTTGAGCTTCCTGTTCCTGTGCAAGAACATGTATTCTATTGGCTGCTGTCAGACTCCCATGGAGCTATGCAGGGGTCATAGCCAGTAGTGGGATGCTGCCGGTTTGGACCGGTTCTAGAGAATCTGTAGTTCTGACCAACAGCTGGCCCCACCCACCCGCCCCCGCCCTATCCTGTTCTATATTTCCTTCTTTCTGGCTCAGTTGATTTGTGCAGCACAGCTGATTTCTCTGCCTCAGCTGTTCCATATACCGAGGCTGCCCTAGAAGGTAAGCAATTGAGCTTCACATTGCTATATTTTGATTGCAAAGCACACACTCACAGAACCAGCTGTTAAACCAGTTGTAGCCCACCACTGGATAGCTGAGGTTGTCTGAGCTCCCAGGTTTGGTTGAAGTTTGGCTGATGCAATATCCTTAGGAGGTTGTGCAATGTAGTGAGTTTTGCTGCTAGTGGGTTATTCCTATTATGTCCTGGAGGGCCGGGGTGGGATTCAAATTTTTTAACAAGCGGTTCTGTGGGCATGGCTTAGTTGGTGGGTGTGGCTTGGTGGTCATGTGACTGGGTGAGCTTGGTGGTCATGTTATTGGCTGGGTGTGGCCAACTCAATATCACTTGCATTGAGGCACGCAACTGGCCTCTCATGACTGTGGGGATGCTGTAATGGTCGTAAGTGTGAAAAATGGTCATAAGTCACTTTTTTCAGTGCCATTGTAACTTTGAATGGTCACTCCACACAAGCAAAGGAGGGGGAAAAAACTCCAGAGATGTTCCAGAGACAGGAAGTCTAGTCCTGCCAAGAATGTAATAAGGGTTAATGGAGAGGCAGTTTCTGTAAACAACACCAGAATGTTTCCTTCCTGCCTTCCTTACAGGATTAGGCCAGTAATTTCTTCTAACAACCGTTTCTCTGAACTGCTTAGAATGTCAACAACCGGTTCTACCAAATAGGTGCGAACTGGTAGAATCCCACCCCTGTGGAGGGCCATGTTTAATCCCATCATCCTGGAAACTGAAGGTCTTTTGTTTTGTAGATAGGAGGGCCCAGTCTTTCTTAATGGGCACAAAATATTTGCCGGGGGCTATTAAGAAAGACTTGGGGGCAGGGGTGGGATTCTACTGGTTAGGCCTGGTTTCATAGAACCAGTACCTCCGAAGAGCAGCTGACAAGATATTTCATTCTTCTAGGAGAGAGTCTTCCCTCACCAGAAAGGGTTTTTTTCTTTTTGCATCTCTAATTGTTTTCCTCTTAGGTCACAAGCTGAACACTAGCAGACAAAGAAAACTGTTCTGAAACCATCCAATCTGATTTCTTTCTCCCACCTTGGACTTATCCATGTGATGATAAAAGGAACATGGCCACTGAAAATTTTGCGGAAATCCTGATCAGACTCAAGGAAACACACGAGAAAGAAGTCCAAGGTAAGAAATGGGGTGTGAGTGTGTGTGTGTGTGTGTGTGAGAGAGAGAGAGAGAGAGAGAGAAAGAGAGAGAGGGAGAGGGAGAGAAATACAGCCACCATACTTGCCTGATGATTAATTGGCTGAATAGATTTGAGGTAGAGATGTTTAAAATGTAAGACTCGGGTTAAAAAGTGGATGAAAAGTAGAACAATTGCTGATTTTTGCAGAGTTGTGCATACAGCTTCGCTCAAAAGATCACAGGTTGTTTCTAAACTCTTCCAGGCCTGCAAACCAAACTGAATGAGCTAACCAATGAGAAATGCCGGTGAGTAAAACAAATGCCATCTATCAGGCATGGATTCTTGGATTTCAGTTCTTTAGGACAAGACAAAATTGATTAAAATATAAAGTAAACTTTAAGATTCATCCCTATCATCTTAAGAGCTTCGGGCCTCAAAATCTTTATCTGGTATCTTCTGAGGGGAAAATCTGAACAAAATGATTTTGGAATAATGGTATGTTAAATATCTGCAATTGGCTGGTTGATCCACCCTAAGCCATAAATGACTACTCACCAAGCACAGTGTCTATGTGGGTCAAACCAGAATGAAGCCACAATTTGTTTAGCATGATGGGCAAACAATTTCTGTCTCCTGAGGACAAATAGTCCATGATCTACAAACATTTGTTTAGTGACTGAAGCTAAAGTGGCACTGAAAAAATTAACTTATAACTGGTTCTCGTGCTAGTGACCATTGCATTATCCTCACAGACACATGATCAAAATTTGGTTGCTTGGCAACCTGCATGTATTTACAATAGTTAGAGCATCCTAGGATCATGGAGTCATTATTTGTGACCTTCCCAGCTGGCTTCCGACAAGTCAAGGGTGGGGAGTGGATTCACTAAACAACCCCATGGTTCACTTAACAACTGCAGTGATTCACTTAATATTTGTGGCAAAAAAAAAATCATTGAAGTGCAACTCACTTATCAACCTCCTTGCTCAGCAGCAGAAATTCTTACCAATTGTGACTGTAAGTTGAGGACTATCCGTACTTTATTTAATCTTAATCATCCTATCAGCTCCCATTACAGGTAATCTTCAACCTATGGCCACAATTGAGTCTAAAATTTCTGTTGTTAAGTAAAGTATTTCTTAAGTGATTTTGCCTGATTCTACAATCTTTCTGGATGTTCTCCACTTTTTCATCAGTTTTCCCTGTTCTTTGTTCAATGTTCTCTGTTCTTTGTTCGATGTTCTCTATTCTCTTTTCAATATTCTCTGATCTTGCTTGAATATTTTGAATTCCTTGCATAATCATCTGCAGAGTCACTTTTTCTTGTTCTTTTTCTTGCTTTAACATTGTCTGCATTGAACATTGTCCTCCAGATGGTGGAGAGGAAGAAGTAGAAGTTGAAGAACCAGGAGCTGTAAATTTCCTACTCATTTTAAGCAATTCAAAATCTTCAGGTTCTTCTAAACCTTAATCCAATTGTGAAGTAACCAATTATAGTTCAAAATAAAAATAATAGAAAAAAGAAGCCCAATAATAATAATAAAAGAAAAAAGAAGGGAGGACAAAATTTCTTCAGGTTCTTGTATACCTTAATCCAATCAATAGTTAGATGAAAAAAAAGGCTTAAGAAAAAAAAGGGAAAAAAAGGAAAAGGAAAAATTCTTCAGGTTCTTCAACACCTTAATCCAATTGAAAGGTTTCAAATAGAAAAAAGTACATAAGAATAAACCAGAAAGGTAGATGAAAAAACAAAAATACCAGGAAAGGGGGAAAAAAGGCTTTTAAGGCTTTCCCTTTAAAATAAAAAGCAAACGTAGAGATTGGACTTCCAAAGAAAAAAAGAAAAACAAAGACAAGTTCCAACAAAGCCAAAAACCCATATAGTTATTACAAAAAAAAAAGATAAAAAGAAATACAATAAAGCTGGTGAGGACGGATAGCACAACTTAGAAAAAGTAAAAAGGGCACACTGCACTTTGTTTAATTATCCAAGGCTCTTATTATAGCTCTCTTCTCCAAAGACTTATCACCTTTCCCCCCCCTAAGTTTCAACACCAGACTCCAGCTGTTGATAGAAACCCAGAAGAGCACCTGCAATAATACTCTCCCATGCTCTTCCCTCTATCTTATCAAATAGCAATGTCCTTGAAAAAGAGTCTCAGTTCTTTCTTTCTCAGCCTTGTCTGGTCACAGGGAAATAGAATATTTTCAAGCCTCTAGTTGGCAGTGTTACAAAGTTTCTTTGCTCTCACTTTCCCCCTCCTTTTCCGAGCAGGATATAATAAGTTAATAAAAAAAAGAAAAAGATATTTTAAAAAATGAAATAACTAAAGGGAGCCTCTAGCCTAAAATATCACAAAATCACAAAAATATCACAAAAAAAGAAGAAAAAAATAGATATAAACAAAAAAACCAGTCCAGTTTCAAAATACAAGATCATATATAGAAAATCCAGCAATGAGGAAAAAAAAAACCATTACTTTGACATTCCTGTTTAAAATCGCCGCTTAATCACTTCTGTCGAAACTTTTACAGATTCTTTCTCTTCCTTAGGGTGTCCTTTCAGATTTTAGAATAAAGAAAAAGTTTTCACCAAACTGGCACACTCTCTCTTTCTGTTCTCTTCTGTTTCGGAGCTGTCCCAACTTCAGCAGCTTTAATGGCTGCCTCTTTGCCGCTGGCAAGAAGAGCTTCTCCTGGATCTACCAGGGACTTTGTGGTATCCCTGGGATCGACAGGAAGCGCTCTTCACTTTCACCGTCTCTTCGGGACGGTTTAGATCCAATTGGACCGTCCAGAAGCAAAGATATCGGCAGCGATCTCAGACCTCCAAGATCGCATGCCGTATCGCTGCGACGCCAGCTCCGCCCTCCCTGATTCTACAATCTTTCTGAATAGAAATAGAAATAGAAATAGAAAAAACAGAGTTATATAGAATATATAGAATAACAAAATGGGAGGGACCTTGGAGGTCTTCAAGTCTAATCCAACCCCTGCGCAGGCAGGAACCCCTATACCATTTCAGACAAATGGTTGTCCAATCTCTTCTTTAAAACTTCCAGTATTGGAGAATTTATGACTTTTGGGTTGTTTGACTGATTAATTCTTCTAACTGTCAGGAAATTTCTCCTTAGTTCTAGGTTGCTTCTCTCCTTGATTAGTTTCCATCCGTGGCTTCTTGTCCTGCCTTCAGGTGCTTTGTGGAATAGCTTGACTCCCTCTTCTTTGTGGCAGGCCCTGAGATATTGAAACACTGGTATCATGTCACCCATAGTCCTTCTTTTCATTAAACTAGACATATCCAGTTCCAGCAACCGTTCTTCATATGTTTTATCCTCCAGTCCCCTAATCATCTTTGTTGCTCTTCTCTGCACTCTTCCTAGAGTCTCAACATCTTTTTTACATCGTGGCAACCAAAACTGGATGCAGCATTCCAAGCGTGGCCTTACCAAGACATTATAAAGCGGTATTAACACTTCACATGATCTTGATTCTATGCCTCTGTTAATGCAGCCTAGAACTGTGTTGGCTTTTTGGCAGCTGTAGGACACTGCAGGTTCATATTTAAGTGATTGTCCACTAGGACTCACTGTTACTACTATTGATCCAGGTACTACTTATACTGAACGTGTGCATTTAGTTTTTCTTGCCCAAATGTAAAACCTTTTTTTTTCACCATTAAATTTCATTTTGTTAGATAGCACCCAATGTTCAAGTTTATCAAAATCCTTATGAATGTTTAGCCTATCTGGAGTGTTGGCTATTCCTGACAGCTTGGTGTCGTCTACAATTTTAATGAGTTCCTCATCTATCCCCACATCCAAATCATTGATGAAGATGTTGAAGAGTACTTGGATGGGACCTTGGAGGTCTTCTAGTCCAACCCCCTCCTCAGGCAGGAAACCCTATACCATTTCAGACAAATGTCCAATCTCTTCTTGAAAAGATCAAGTGTTGGAGCATTTACAACTTGTGGAGGCAAGTCATTCCACTGAATAATTGTTCTAATAGTTAGGAAATTTCTTCTTAGTTCTAGATTGCTTCTCTCCTTGATATCCTTTCCATCCATTCTTGCCACAGTTGTTAAGTGAATCACTGCAGCTGTTAAGTTAGTAACACAGTTGTTAAGTGAATCTGGTTTCCCCATTGACTTTGCTTGTTAGAAGGTTACAAAAGGTGGTCACGTGGCCCTGGGATACTGCAAACCTAAAAAATATGAGTCAGTTGCCAAGCATCTGAATTTTGATCATGTGACCAATGGATGCCACAATGGTTATGTGTGAAAAATAAGTCATTTTTTTCCACGGAATGAACTGTTGTTAAGTTACAAACTTCCTATACTTTAGTTTGAAAGTGTCAAACTAAACTTTAGTTTCCAACATGCAGTTTGAAAGAGAAAGTCAAGGAGAAATGGCAGAGATGCGTTTTGATACTTGGGAATAATATTTTTTTTCCTCCTTCTCCCTTTTTAGGGACAACCAGAGAATTGAAGAGCTCTTTACCAAAAACCACCAATTGCGTGAACAACAAAAGGGACTTAAAGAAAATGTGAAAGTCCTGGAAAACAGGTAAACAGCCTCATCCTGTTTTAAGGGGCATCTGCACAATAGGGGATGGTTAAAAGTGTCATCGTGGCCACAACCACACAACTGAACATTTCTTTCATAAAAATTGGACAAGGTTAATCCAGTAATCCAGGTTGGGCAAGTTGTATAAACCCAGTTATTGATATCACATATCTACAATAATTAATATATGAGCATCATAATTATAATCAATATACTGAACATCATTATCAATACAATGAACATAATGCACACATATCCACTGGAAATTGGCAATATGAGGTAGTTTTGAGTGCCCGTTTGATATGATTTCTATTTTAGCTGAACTTGACTTTCAAGCATTCCATCCTGGTGAGAAAATATATATCAGGGTTAGAAAAGCGGAATCTAGATTAACAGAGTTGGAAGGGACCCTGAAGGTCTTCTAGTCCAACCCCCTTCTCGAGCAGAAGAGCCCATACCTTCTGGACAAATGTTGGCCAATCTCTTCTTTAAAACTGTCCACAACTTCTGGAAGCAAGCCTGATTAATTGTGACAGGAAATTTCTCTTTACTTCTACGTCGGATCTCTCTTTGAGAAGCTTCTGTCTTTTATTTCTTATCCTCAGGTGCTTTGGAGAATAGCAGTCTGTGACAGTCCCTCAAATATTGGAAGACTGCTGTCATGTCACCTGTAGTCCTTCTCTTCATTAGAATAGATATACTTAATTCATCATAAAGCTTAGCTCCCACGCACCCCCCATCCTCCCCCACCCCCCCAACCAATTTTCTAGCTTTTGGGCAAATAAATAATGATTCTGAAAAATCTGAGTCCAAAAGTGGGCTGATGAAATATGCTTGAGGAAAAAAAAGAAAATCCACTGCCAAGATGGTCAGAAATTTGGGTCTGAGGCACAAATGGAATTTGAAAAAGCATCTCCATGGTTTTCATAAAGAGGAAAGAAGGAAGGAAGGAAGGGAGGGAGGGAGGGAGGGAGGGAGGAAGGAAGGAAGGAAGGAAGGAAGGAAGGAAGGAAGGAAGGAAGGAAGGAAGGAAGGAAGGATATTTAGACTTGCAAGGTATCTGTTATTCTAACCTTTTCATAAAAGTAATATTAGCATTTATGACTTTGGTTTTCAAGTATGGTCTACCTTGAAGTTCTAACAGTGGGGTTGGTGCAATATGTCTGC